TCAATGACCAACAAGTGCTAGTGTGCACTAAAAGCTTTGGTAAAGACTCGCGCCCAGAAGTACAAAATCTTGAGTCTTGGTATGCTACTCCCAAGGTATGTGTACACAAAATATTCCCACTAGGAACCCTAGATTTGAGATCGGCAAGTTGAAATGCWGCTTAGAAATAAGAATGATTTTCTGTGGAACAATTCCTTATGGTCACCTGTATTATACTGATACTCCATTATAACGGAGATTTTTAGTTCACTGCAAAGCAACCCACACATTTTTCGGTAAAATTYATTACCGACTTAGTTCGATCGTTTATAAAGCCATGGTATTCCTTAATTGGTGGATRGAAAACAGGAAAAAAACTTGTGAACGCTGTGAGTCCTATAAACGTATCATAAATGCAATATAAATATCACAGAATTGACATACACTTATACAGGATATTGGATACTTACAGGACATTTACATGAAATTTACAGCAAATTTACAACGTATTTTACATGAAATATACAGGGTTCTTATAAGCGCGCGTTTTTAGTGTTGCTAACTATGAATTCAAATCTCATCCTTCTTTCTTTACACTGTTGTTCTTTGTTCACAGCAAGACGTTGGTTCCATACCAACAGACAAACTTATGTGTTTAGCATATGACATTGGTGAAAAGTGGAAGATTGTGGGAAGAGCTTTGGGGCTGCATGAAGCAGACTTGGACGAAATTGAAATAGATCAAGACCAATTGTATGAACGCTGCTATGCAGTCTTGAGACGGTGGACGGAGATTCATGGCTCGTCTGCAAATTACGAAGCTCTAAGTTCTGCGTTAACMCATCCCGCGGTCGAGATGTCGGATCTTGCGTGGAAATATTGTGGTTCTGTTGGGATGGATAATCCGGGTAAGACGCTGTGATTGTGATATTTAAGTATGAAAATACAGTGAAACCCCTCTATACCGGACCCTCAATATACCGGAATTCTCTCTAAACCGGACAAAATCTTTGGTCCGGAAATTTTTCCATACATCTTTTATAAAATTAACCTCAGAACCCCGGAACCTCTCTACTCCGGAAACCGGACGATTTTTTCGGTACCAAACGATATTTTACAATAGAATTGAACCCCGCTAATCCGAAAAAACTTAACCCAAACACTTGTTTTTCCATTCAGTATCGTTTTTTTTCGTGTTTTATGTTGAGAGCAAGTTTTGAAACTCGCATAGTTTTTGATTGTTTTGTATTCATTTTTGCTTGAACTTGTATACACATCACACAATAACCCTACCGTATTTTAAATCTTTAGAAATCATATCAAAAGAACCTGAAGTTTTCATATCTTATCAATGGGATATACAAAGCACCGCTCTGGAACTGTCATCTCTACTGAAGGAAAATGGATTCAGCTGCTGGGTTGATATCGGTCAAATGGGAGGTGGAGACTCGCTGTATGCAGAGTTAGATAAGGGAATCAGATCTGCTAAGGTATATCTTGAAAACTGCACTTTGGGCGACAGGGAAGGCGTTTAACTAAGTTTCTCCACAATAAGTGCTTTTTTCATTTCCTATTCTCAAAGAAGTTCAATTTTCGGGGGAGGGGGGAAGGGGGAGG